AAAAAAAAAAAAAAAAAAAAATAGAAACTCAAGGAATGCAAAAGGTGGGGTATTGATATTATCTTATTGTAAGTAAACGATCATGATGGTGATGATGATGATGATGATGATGATGATGATAACGATGATGATGATGACGATGATTCAAAACCCACAATGTTTACTTCATTAACGATTCATATGGTAGAGAAGAAACGAATGCTGCGAATAGAATTTAAATGTTACTTTTATACTACTACTGTATATTTATTCTTCGACCAGGCTGACTGACTGACTAACTGACTGACTAACTGACTGACTGGCTAATTCTAAACATAAGACACAACTACGCTATGGATATTTGTCAAGGAAAAAAAAAAGTATATGTGTATATAAAAAAAAAAAGAAAAAAAAGAGAAAAAAATAAGATGAGAGTAAACAACAAGAGAAAAAATTTTCCATACGTTCACGTTCGTCGTAAAATATATGTGACAGGAAAAGAAAAATAATGAAAAAGGAAAAAAAATCGTGAAAAAGAAACGGAAAACAAATCTTGAATATTGAAATATTCAAAGTTTTATATCAACGAATATATATTAAAAATCAAGAATAATAATAATAATAATAATAAGTATAAAAGAAGATAATAATATTATAATAGAGGACAAGGGGGATGAGAGGAGGAAGAGGAAAATAAATCTATTATAATATATTTTACGTTTTTTTCTTTCAAAATAAAAATAAAATTGATTATATTAATAAATTATTATATTATTACTTCTATTATATAATTATATTTATTATTATTATTATTTTATTATATATTATATTATTAACACACGCGTTCCCCTGTGCCAAATCATTTTCATTCGACTTTTCATTCAAGTTCCGTTAAATAAATATGAATATTATACAATTGTATTACGCGTGGCACGAGAAACGTGTTAAATTATATTATAATATAATTTTATAGTCTTCAAACAAACATAATAAATAATGAATTTCTTTTTATTATCCCTCACCCCCTATCCAATCCCTTGTCCGAATTTAATAGAATAAAACAAAACAAAAATGCAAGAAAATTAAAACATTTAAAAAATACGAAAATCAATTCTAAATTGTTT